TGCTCTCGTAGGTGGTGTGGTGGGAAGGGGTCCTGTGCCACCGACCTGTGGGCAGGAGAAAGGACTTGCCTTCCCCACATGGCACTTTCATCCTCGCTTCCCCTTAAAACCACAAGCTCCTCAGGGTAAGGGCAGGCTCTGGCTTGATGCTTCTGCAGAACCAAGAATAACAGGGTCCAGACCTCACCTGTGGTCTCCAAGACCTCTTCTTCCCCCTCCAGATACTAACAGCCACATTTTGGACTTGATTTCTCCTGAACATTGGAGTACTTCAGATCTGCATGTATATTTTTGAGGCTCAGACCCCAACACCGCTACAAAATCAGCCAATTGGTACCATCAGACGCAAAATGAAAGAATCGTTCATCAAAGTGATTTGTAAAACATTGGCCACTGAGACCACCTGCAGCTGGATTTCTATCCCATTAAGCAAACATCACATTCAATAGCCACCATCAAGAGACATTCAGTGAAAACAATCCCATCCTTATGAATTAGAGACGGTGTCCAAAACCCCAACCCCAGCACTGGAAGTTTAAACCTAATGAGGAGATGCACAGGTCCCTGCTCCAGACACGAGCATCTCGTCGAACATGGTCCTGCCTCTACATAGCAGGTATAAAATGTCCCTGTACTCCCCAGGAAGGATGACAGTAAGTGGTAGCAAAAAGCTTTCGATATTTAGCAAACTCTCAAAAACTCTAAGCACCCTCGGTTGTACATGAGCAAAGGGCAAACTCCACCTCAGGCTCATTTGGAGGTTTCTGTGGCTCAGACTGACCATTTCTCACCAGCCTCATTTTACAGGGCTGGAGCGCAGAGCCGAGCAGGGAAGGAGCTGAGTTACAAGTCTCTCCTCCAGCTTTATTCCTGGCAGAGACAATTTGCAGCAGTGTTACTCGGCACGTCAAGTCTGGCACCTGCTTACAATAAATCCCTAACGAAGTTGAAAAGTTAAACCTTCATTTAGTTTAATTTCTGGTTTAGATTTGGATTTCTACGTACCGTAAATGCTAGAAAGAATGTTTTTTTGAAACAATGCTGCATATTTACCTTGGAGAACCTCTGTAATTGGCTGCCCTTCACCTAAGGCTTCTTTCTAAATGCAAAAGGATGCTCTCAGCACAGTCTAACGGGGAGGCTTCGCCACCATCACCTGCTAACGCTTTCGCGCCGGCTGAGATCTTTCGAGCAGGCTCCCTTGCAGGTGGGACGGGTCGATGCGCTAATTTGGCTCTCAGAAACCCAAGGGGTTTGAATCCCAGCAGGCACTACAGGAAGAAAAGTGCTTCGTGGGGTGATGTCAACCTGTGCAGACGGGAGTTTGGGAGTCTTCGCTTTTGGGACACGTGTGATGGCACAAAGCAAGACGGGCACAGCCAAGCTGTCTAGTCCTGCTGAGCACGAACCTGCCTGTCGGCTGCACCGGCTGTACGGCTGAGCGAGGCTCCTCAACCTCGGAGCTGCCACGTCCCAGAGCTTCCCCTCTTTGGCCATCTCTTCAGCGCAATCATCTTCCTTGGGATGGGGGTTTCGCGCAGCAATTAGCGACAAGGTCAGCGCAGCCCTCTCAAGCCTCTCTCTCGAGTCACCGGCGCAGAGGACACGCGCCTGCTCTTGCCGTCCCTGCCGTGCGCGAGACGGGCAGCCCGGTGGGACCCCCACGCCGCTGCGTGGGGACGGTCCCCAGCCCTGAGCCCCTGGCCGGGACCGCGAGCAGCTGCGCTGGCGGCTGGGGAGCTCTTCCGCAGCCTGCCCCGGGGGACAAGCAGCTGATGGGGCCTGGCTGTAAAACCTTGGATGACATTTTCTCTCTCCTCACCTTTGATCCTGGTAAACGTGCTCTGGGCGCTGCGATCTGACTGAGAATCTCTCTGTGCGCAGATGTCCTGCAAAAACTACACCCACAGCTGTAAATCGCAAAGCCCTCCCCAATCTGGTGGTTAGCAACAATAAATAATGATTTTTCTAATGGGAACTGGACAGCATTCAACCCACTCCTTGATTATTTTTTTTTTAAGCGAAGACTATTTATATCAAGAGGCTTGCAATAAGTAAGACTGTCCAATTTACTCGAGATCAAAAACAGCCAAAGGGGGAGATTTCTGGAAGCTCAAGCGACGGGGACTCGTATCGGAGCAGGCAGACCCCAAACCGAGATCACAGCAACATCAATGCCCACGAAGCACCAAAACCGTGGGATGTCCCGGCTCCTCGGGCTCCCCGCTTCAGGTCTTGTGAGGACACGGGTGGGTGGGCGAGCACAGGAAGGGGACGGTGCAGAGACGCGCCTACGCAGTGTGTGTTTCAGTCGTCATCGCCCAAATCTGCCTCACCGTAGGTGGCCCAGGACGGTCCGGCACACCGGGACCAGCACACTCTGCCTATGGCACGACCAGCACAACCCCACGGGAGTCCAGTGGGGAACAGACATCCATCCTCCCGGCGCGCTCTCTGCTCCGCCGAGCCGGCGGGCTGCCGAGCCCCTCCTCTCTGACGTTTCCAAACTCACTAAGCCTTTTTCCTTACAAACGTGGTGAACTAGGCAAGAAGAATAAGTTCACACTTGAAAAAAAAGAAAAAGCTTTTTTCTTTAAAGCACAACTTTTTTTGGGTTCCTGACAAAGCAATATTCTCCAGGCCAGTTGGAATCTGGAAAAATACACTTACTCAGCCTAGCCACCATGACTCCAATAACAATTATAAAATGTCCAATAAAACTTGCATGTAATGTCAATTCAAATCTTGAAAAGCAGAATTAAGTGGTATATCAACATTAAACTTTATTGCTTCCTTTGCAGAGCAGAAGTATTGTCAATAAAAGTCATTCTGAATGAAGAAAAGGGCAGTAAATATTAAATAAACAGGTTTTTGTTGAAATGCTATAAATGCACCAGAGCTGCATTTTACACTGGGACCCTTTTTTCCTTTGCAGACTCCCCTCATGATAGAAATAAGTCAGTAATTGCAAACTATCAATAAAGCGCCAATTAAAGGGTGGTTAGATGCATGCATTTACAATATGTCATTATGAGCCTTTATTGTATGTAGTTGGCTTTTTCAGATCCCACTGGCTCCGTCTGAAGTCGCCCAGCACACCAACAGTCGTGCTGCTCGTTAGGGGCCCTTGGAGGAGCCGTGAGGGTGCTGGAGGCGAGGGCCAGCCCCAGAGCCCTGGCCGGGGGCTCGGGGTACGGCCCCCGTGTGCCCCGGGACACGGCAAGGATGGAGAAACCCAGAGCCGAGAGGGGGATGAGAGAGGAGCGTTTGGTCCGGCTTTTCGGTCACGGAAGGTTCTTCTGGCAGAGATGGGAAGACAAAGCATCGCTATCTCAGGCCATTACGCTATCGTTTTTCTGCCAATGCAGAAGTGAGCAGAGCACGACAGCAATGCGCCGAGACACGACAGCCGTGCTAAAGCCGGGGAATTTGGCAACGCGGTTTGTTTTCTGACAGGCCGCTCACCGTGGTGTGTTCTGCTCCTTTCTAGGTCTACTCACCTTAGAAAGAGCCATCACCGCCCTCCCTACGCTTCCTTACACGCAAAAGTATTTCTACTCGCAATTCCTGCTTCCTAATCAGATCTCCACCATGTCTCAACAGCCACCTGCTTCTGCAACGAGCAGCCAACAGAGATGGGATGTTTTGCTTTGTCCATGAGACAAAAGAGCAGGTTTTTTTAGGGTTGGGCTGAATCTAATCCTCCCAGTGACACTGAAAACCTCAGGTGCGATGCCCGTCGCAAACACAACTGGCACCTCGTGGAGCAATGGCCTGAGACCTCTTTGGGTCAGACTTCTTCTGCCCCGCTGCCGGGAACTCCAGCTGCCTGAGAAGATCCATCCCAACAAAAAACACCCTGACACTAAAAGGTGTGTTGAGCGAGCAAAGGTACAAGCTGTATGTACCCAGGCACAATGGGATGCGTTTCGGGAGCAGGAGAAGGAGTGGGCATCTCTGCGAGGGCACAAATCCTGCGGGTTTTATGTCAGCCCTTTAAAATCCGATCAGCATTTTTGTGGTTTACCGGTAAGAGTTTATAAGCTGTTCTCCAGTTTAATCATCACACGTATTTACAGGAAGCAGGAACAGCTACCGAGTATGAATTTCATGATGCTGAAATGACATTGAATGAACACCGCAGTCAGCAAGGGCTGCGCTTCTGCGAGTCAGAGTGGCTGGGGTTTACTGAGCTCTTTGCTGGGTCAGAGATGACAGAAATCAGACGCGGAGCAGGGAAGTATATACGCAGGAGCTTCTGTCCTCTGACTTTCGCACAGATTTATTTATTTCATGTATTAAAAAAACCCCAGCAAAATCGACTGGAATGTGAATGCCATTAATTTTTGAAGAAATTAGTTTCACTATGAACCTAGGCTCAGTAAACCTGGTGGTTGTAAAAAGCAGCTCAAATGTTTTCAGAGATATTGAATGTTAAACATAAAAAATCCCTTCAAAGGGTGAAAGATGTCTACAAAAATTAACTTTCGGAGAAATTGCAAGTATTCATCCTAGCCTTCCACAGCTGCCAGATCAGACCCTTTGCACTAGTCCCGGGCTGACATTTCTCTGCCGTCCATATGAATGGAAACCAAACCAGCGGCAAGGGAAACAAACCTCCAGCAACACACTAAGAGCAGCCATGCCAGCGCAAACCACCCGAGAGCCAACAGTTAATGCTGTGAATCATCTTAATTCACTCGAGCCTGAACTCTTGACCTGCCGATTGAGTCAGTTCCTCTGGATGCTGCTCCTGCTCGGAGAAGACGGGCTCCAGCGAACCACACCACCGCCGTCGCCGCTCCCAGCACGCGTGCCCACGTCCTTGCTGCCGGTTACGGAGCCGGCGTTGGGAATGTGTGTCTGCATCTCAGCCATCCAGGTCCCAGCCCACCCTATGGCCCCCAGGTGCAGGGAGAGGTTTTACACCCTTCGAACACCCTCTGCTCCGTCCTGGGTGAAGACGTGACCCTTAGGAAGGAAACCCGGGAGCATCTCACCTGGAAGAGGATCTGCAAGAGGCCGTGTACAATGCACATCTGCCGTCCCAGGAAGAGGAAGAACGGCACCACCAGCTCGATGAAGTGATTGACCAGGGTCTCGAACTGATGAAACCACCACGGCGAGCGATGCATGAAGTAGGCGATGGGGTTGGGCACTGGCTGCGTCTGAAAGGTGGAAGAAAACAAGAATCAGACCCCCTCCAAGGCTCATCATTGCGGGGAGCTACAGAGCTCTTGGCCTTTTTCCTTGTTTCTTTCCCCAAGTTTGCTCACAGAAGAACCATCCTTTGCCTCCGGGCACTCATTTCTTTTTAGAGAAAATTACTTCATTCAATTTTCTTCATGCAAACCCAAGGAATTTTTAAACCAACACACCATCTAAAAACCAAGAGTTTTAATTTTCTCTTTTTTTCATCATTACCAAACTCCACTCATCTGAAATTAAACCACTATTATTTAATACTGAAATGTTACACATAGCTCGACACTGACGGATGTTAAATTGCTCTGCATGACTGCTGAAGATCATCAGAGCAACTAAGCAGATACAGAAACTGAGAAAAAGATTTTCTCAGGGTCACACAGTAGGTCAAACACAGCCAGGAATGGAAACCAGATTTCGAGACCTAGGAGATATTCTTTCAAAATGTTTAAATTTGAAATAAATGTGGTGGTAGAGTTGCTTTCCAAAATCGTAATTTGGGAAAGGGAAGTGTAATGCCTCTAAACATGCTATATTGGTTAAGGTATTTACATACTGGCCTTGTAACAATATTATTCTTCTATCAGCCTGAAATTTTTTGACACCGGGAGATCTTCCATCCAGTACAATAAAGCTGCAAATTTTACAAAGGAAACAAACCCAAATCCTCATTGGTTAGTAACTGCCACCCTTAGAAATGCTGCAATTTTAGCAGAAAGAAAGAAGTTACCAATTTATCTTAGTGTATCTGACAAGCTCAAATTCGTTAGTATTGTTTTAGAACTGCGACAAAAAAAAAGAGAGGATGAAGATGCAAATTTTAATTGAAGGAGACACAACACATCTTTAAATTATTTGTAGTTAAATCAAAAATACAAACAAAACAGGGAAAATACTGTATGATGCATGGCAACTGAGCGTGCTTCCACTGCCAAATCCCACAACTATTGTAATTCCTTATTAGCAAAGCTGGGATTAATAAAGCTGTTGCTTTATATGGGTTGGAGGCTGCTGTAACCCCTTAGGACAGGAGACCGCATCCTTCCTTCCTCGGACAGCGGTGCCGGATGGAGCGGTGTCGGGGTCAAGGAGCTCTGCCAAGTCCGCTCCGGCAAGGGAGTGGGGGGTCAGGGCTCCCCCCATCCCGGGGCAGCAGCAGCCCCGGGTGCCACCGAGGGTCCTTCCCCTCTGCACGGGACCTGTTTCGAGTTAATCTGCTTGTTGGACTGCTCTTGAGCATTCCCAGAATGCAGGGAGGCTCACAAGGAGATTTTTTTACCTTCATCCCAAATTGCTGAGAAATGCTTTTACCCTTCCAAAACGGCAGGTTGCTTTCTCGGCTTCTTCTATTTTTAATTTTTTTTTAAGTGCTTTAACCAAAACTGACCTAGATGAGGTATCAGCCCTACAGGTTGTAATATTTAGCCCGAGATGAGCCCGTTTCCAGTGCGTAACTGCCCGATTCTAACACGCCAGAGCCGCAGGAAGGCGGCATTCCTGCTCATCCCCTCCTGCAACGCAGCCACCGCCTGCCTCCCCATCGGCAGCGTGCCTGGATCCGCTCCCTTCGACGCAGGCAGCACTTACGGCCGGGGACCACGGAGAACAGGCAGTATTACACATGTAATTACATACCTACTTACGCATGTAATTAACTCTCGTAAGGCGATGGCGCTGAGCAGTTATATATTTGACTGTGGCTTTGCAGGGCTGGGCTGACACTGTTTAATTTTAAAGCAAGGACCGTCCTTAGCTATGGAACGTGCCACTCCGTTCCCCCATCCCCTGGCTCTCCATCACAGACTCACGCTGATGCCCTCATCCGTCAAGGCCAACCGCAGCCAGCAAATCCTGCTCGTTGCTTTGGGCTGGGACTCAAGACATCTTCCCCCCTGCCTGCTGTGCTTAAGGGCAGAAAGATAAAATTCTTGCCTCTAGACGCAGTGCAGCGGGACAAGAAGCAGAAGAACGTTCTTGGTTTGGGCTCACGCTGCAGCCACGTGGGGGCTCGTGTGGGAACAGCCCAGGCTGGCCAGCTGGGTCTGCTGTGGCTTATGGCTTTTAGCGGCAGCCTAATTCTTATCCTGAAGTAGAGATGGGGAAAAAGGAGAAGCAAAGTACAGAAATCTGGCGTAGGTTAATAATTGACCCCCAGGTGCTATAGCATTTCCATCCTTCACCTTATGAGCGCTGACACTATCACGGTGTCAGCGGGGGCAATGCTGTGCGACAGGCAAGATAACTCAAATGACAAGCAAGACCGAAAGTCTAGAACAGCAGCAGACACACCACAAATAACACAGGGTTCCTCGGCATTTGTTTTGACAGAGGGAAAGAAATGCCTCTGATAAGAGCAGCGCTGGCGATGGAGCCTCTGGGGCCACTACCAGTAAGGGACCCTTCCTCCCCACCCCTGCGGCCACTTCTCCGGTGTGTAAACCTCAAGTACGGAAAACAAAACACAGAGATAGAGAAGCGATTCGCGTGTGTCAGAAATTCGTTAAAAGGCTGCTGGGGGAGGAGAGCGCTCTGTGTGTGTGTGTTCCTCCCAATGCCTTCCAGATGCTGCGAGCACGGGTGTAGCACGGCACAGGTTTCCCGGGGAGAAAGCTGTGTTTACTCGGGAAGGGGGTGTTGAGGCAAGAGCAAAGACCCAGAGCAACGTGTGAATCACAGCGGCCCCGAACGCAGGCACCTGTGATACTGGAAAGCTTGCTGGTTCCTTCCTCTGCCCCAGTCAACCGCTGCCCAGGGGTGCTGGGGGCACCCGACGACCCGTCCGGTGCGTCCCGCTGGGGCTGGGGGAGAGCACCCGGGGTGCATCGCTGGGGTTGGAGAGGGTACCTGCCCACCACAGGCATGCCTAGTGCTTTCCCAGTGTAACCATATCCTACGGAAACATCGCGGAGGTGTCGGAGGCGGCGGTGTCAGAACCCGGGAGCAGGGAAAAGCATTCCAGGATCACTTCACCCGGCTTGTCTCGCTGGGGATTTTGAGCTTTACGCTTTGCTTTGTGGCTGCTTTGCAAGGAAAAGCATCCTAGGAAGCGGCCAGGAGTTCCCCTACATCGAGAACTGTGAACTCCTGACACACACAGACACGGAAAAACGCAGCTCCAAGTCAGATGCAACTAAATAAACAAGCCCAAGGCAGACGCATGGCGAGAGGAACAGAGCAGAGCCCTTGTCTCCAACAAGCCTCATTTCTGGATACCTCTGTGAAACATAAAATGTTTTTAAATAAAAAAACGATTAGCCAAAACCAGCTTTATGTGTCAGCACAAGGTGCAATATAATAAACTTCCTGCCTCCTTCACACCTCCAGCAGCCGGAGAAAAACTGCGCTGCAAATGCGTTTTGAAATCAGATTGGGGAAAATTAATTCCATAATTCACGGGGCAGATTTGTAACGTGTGACTGCGGGGCGACACTCGGCGGGGGCGGCTGAATGGATTCTGGGTCGCCAGCTAAGGCATGTTCTCTGGCTTGTATCTACCAGGTTTTATGAGGGCTGGTAACAGATTCTAAAAATATGCACAATAAACTGTTTTTTCTCCCTAAGGGGTCTATGGTTTAATTATGTTCTTAGTGAGAACCATTAAAGTGCTAAGTACCTGAAGACTCCTAATTTACTAAACTATATGCTACTAAAACCCAACAGAAGGCTATTATACACCAGAGTAAACGCTCTTCTCTGGGACTGTAAATGCACATGGTCTCTCCTCTCAGCCTCCTTATTGGTATGGCATTACATAAACTCCGACGGCGTATTTAATCCCAGTGTTAGATACCCCAGCTCAGCCTAGGGAAATCTCCAGGCTCTCCTACACGTGTGCATGAAAACAAGTCCCACATTGTCCTCGAACAACCCACTGCTCAGACAGGGCTGGCGATGTTATTCTTACAGCGTGAGCGGCACAAATCCCATGCAAGTCACCGAGCCGCATGGGAGGTGAAGTCGGAGGGGAGGGAAGACCCTCTTCTCTCAAGATCACAAACGAGGAGGAGCCCAGAGCTAGATCAAGTAAGTTTTATCCTTTGCAACGACAGGCTTTTACCTTCCTTCTCTCCGCAATAACCCGCGGCACGGCTTCAGGAGCCTCTGTTGTATCTGCTCGCTCAGCTGAGCACCTCAACAGCTCGAACTCACAAGGCGTCTTTCAAAACACGGCAGCAAGTTATGAATGAATCGGTTTCAGAAAGGTGAACAAAAAATCCATTATTCTACCTGTTTGTATAAGGTAAACTCCTATTATCTATTGATTCAGATAACCAAAGGTATACTTGGCATTAATATTAAAACAAGGCTAAGGACAGCCTTTCAAAGTATCACCCTGAGTGCCCATCGCAGAAATCTGGCTTGGGGAAAAACAAAGCAAGCCATAAATAATTCCTATACACTCTAGATACTATCATTTCTTTCCCCATTGAAAGGCACCTACTTAACCAAACCACTCCAATCTGAGCGCACTTAATGGCAGAAAGATCTTGAAAAACAGAAGGAAATGGAACAACAGCAAATATTAATAAATTATGAGAGGAAGCAACTATTCGGTCAAAAGAAATAGGATTCACGTGGCGCAACAAAAACTTCAGTAACAGCTTGCGGGCACCGGAGACTCCAACAGTCAAAAGAGAGGGAAGCCTTTGGCACAAACAGAAAGGTGTGAAGAACAGCAGTACCCTGGAAAACCAGGCTGAGAGGTATTATTGAATGTTTTCCCGAGCGTTTGTGGAAGGTACAGATGAACTGTAAAGCACAGTACTCCAGCTTCCCAAGGCACTGAGGCATGAACTCATCTTCTCAGCTTCAAAGAAAAACTCTCAGTTCTCTATACTCTGGACCAAAAAATAAAAGGGATTCTCCATCGCAGAGCATAATTTGATCAACATGATCCAACAGGCTGTTTCTCTGCCAGTCTATTCTGCTTTAGATCTTGACCCTTCCTCCTTACGCATCTGCA